TATATATATAACTATATATATATTATTATATATATATATACTAAAATAATATATATATATATATATATATATATATATATATATATACATATATATATTTATATATATCTTCGGGAATGCCAGATTTGGATACAGGCCTGATCAGTGTATAAGCATACGTGTATATCACATAATTCAATTTATGGACAACAGGCACATACACACTCATATCTTGCACATGTCTGTACACTCAGATGTGCCGTACATCCGACTGATATTATGATTCACATGCTCACATACTCGCATGTCACGTAGATGGACAGATTCTTCTGCACATTCATGGTTTTACAGACTTACTTTGATCTTCGAAGATGGTCAGTGCGCGACGCAACAAGGCATTGATATCGTCCAGCGGGATGTACTGTAGTACAAACTGCTCCATATAGTGCCCGTTGCCCACCGCACAACCATGACTCATCACCTGTGTTTGTCGGGACCACAGGCCCATGAGCAATGAGATGATATGGTTGTATGCCCAAGGAAAGGGAGTTTGTACGTGGGAGTTAGCTTGTGGGATATATTTGTGGTGCTTAAACCTTGGCCCTGTCATATTTATGACTCGTGACCTGTCTGGCAGTTCCAAAGTAAATCTAAATTTAGACATAGCGTGCCATAAAGTATTGAGGGAGGGAGAGAGGGATAGGTACTTGACAAAGGAATTAAACGGAAGGTATCACGCACAATCTGTATGGGGAGAGGTCCATAGATATCTGTACGATTATGCATTCACCTTCAAGCTAATTTTGAGGAGAGCGAAAAATCAACTCCCAAGGGTATGATGAGTTTGGAGTGTTTGTGCTTTTGGACCACGAGTGTATATGGAGATGATTACGGCTTTGAGACGAGGCTTCGTTACATTGCTGTATGTGGGATATTTTGATCGAAGTCAAGAGAGTCCGTTTGCGTCAGTGTCTGTCTCAGGCACTACTCAACTCATACCATATCCAAAATCCAAAATCCAAAAAATCATAATACATACATTTATATGTTTTAGGGTTTAGGGTTTAGGATATATATAGATTGTTATAGATACAGATATATATATATATAAATAAATATATATATACAAATATATATACATACCTATATATATACGAATACATATACATACATACATATATATATATATATATATATATGATGCAGTATAAGGACAAGCACATATACACATGCATTAGAGTATACATACTACACATGATCCTACCTGAAGTGTGATATCTACTGTGACATCCTGGGCTATCCTGAAGTCGAATTCTGATTCGCATCTACCTCGAATCAAATTCAATCAATATTAGATCAGTTGACTGTATGTGAATAGTTGAGATATAGAAGAGGCAAAGCCTATACATTAAGAGCCCCATCACAGGCAAGGACAACCATCAACAGCAGATGAATTGACCTCGGAATAGACACCTTAAGCGTCTTCAACAGGACACTTGTGGGCTGAATTAATCCAAAACCCTAATCCCTAAACCCTAAGGCGCGCAGTGGCTGAGTGAAATAGGTGTTTTAACGGTCTCTATTTACCACAGATTGTTGTATCAACCACTCATTCACACGAATTTAACCTTTATGGGGATAGTGCAAGCCAGCACAGCGGACGATGTACACAAATGCTGCACTAAACACATACAACACATACACATACACATACGCATACACATAAACATACGCATACACATACGCATACACATACACATATACAGATACATACACATACACATACACGTACGCATACACATATACATATACATATACATATACATATACATACATATACATACACATACACATACACATACACATACACATACGCATACACATACACATACACAAACACAAACACATAAACATACACATACACATTCACATACACAAACACAAACACAAACACATAAACATACACATACACATACACATACACATTCACATACCCATCCACATACACATACACATACAACACACAATACAAAAACCTACACCTCACACACACTCATATCGAGCCACACAAAATACACACCTGTATATCACCATCAAACTTGCCAGTGCGGAATCCAAGCAGACAGGTGTACCGGTGTGTTGTAGTGTCTGTACCAAGCCTTGAGATACTACCTGTGCCAGCTCTAACCCACACACTTGCCTGAGTGCTACCCCCCCGTCTTGCCTACCGAATCCTATCAGCACCTTGCTTACTGTGTCGCATACGGTAGATATCCTGACCCAGTCGCTCAGAGCCTCTCCGTAGGACGTGATGGGCGCACAAGCGGATCGCAGGGCTTGCAGATTGATGTCCTTGCGAGATGATGCGTGGCTACGCGCGAACCTGTTGGGGGTGGAAAGTGAGCCTTGATTTAGACCGGTGTGTGAAGGTGTGCTTTAATGTTCTTCAGATATGAGATCCTCATAACTCCCCTGTAAACTACGGAGGTACGTGATGTACTGGATTCGGAGTTCATGAAGGTATGGGGCAGGGGTTGTATATCTGTGTGGACGTATTATGAGCGATTCACGAAGGTATCGCGCAGTAATTGCATACATGTATGTAGGTATTGTGAGCGGTTCTGGCATGGACATAGCTACTCACACGTGGAAAACACAAACAGTCGCCGCGTCGTCTATCCACAGAAGACACCTGGCGATCACATACGATCGCACGTGGAGACACAGGCAACCACCACTGCACACGACGACACCCACGCACACAAACTCGGGCATCACTAAACACACCCACAGCTACACACCACTGCCACGCCAAGTACAACCACAGCTACACACTCATGCATCACTAGGCGTACCCACATCTACACACCACTTCCACGCCAAGTACAACCACAGCTACACACTCATGCATCACTAAACACACCCACAGCTACACACCACTGCCACGCCAAGTCCAGCCACAGCTACACACTCATGTATCACTAAACACACCCACCCAGCACTAACGACCCGCACACATACTCGACTGCCGCATCACTCGTGCGGCCCATCGTCAGCGTCACAAAGTAACTGGCGTACGCAGCCACGGTGTCTACCAGCGCATCAGGCACTGTGGCGGGCGACTGGGCTGCGGGTACATCTGCGGCTGTGGTTAGATCTGCGGTTGGTGTGTGGTCAGTTGAGGCAACGGTGGTGTTGGTGGTGGACGCATACCGGGCACAGGACCGGCCCACCAGCTCACACATGTAGGTGCTCACGTCCACCGACACACTGCGGGGAAGACAAGGGGCGATGAAGGAGACAGAACATGTTCAGGGAAGGGAAGGGAGGGGAAGGGATGGGATGGGATGGGATGGGATGGAAGCATCAACTGAAGCGAGAAGGATTCCGAAAAAGTCAATTCCAATCCGGAATTCCGGGACAAAATAGATCAAGCAACACATGTGGTTGTCATGGCAACGAGATTAGACCTCCGAGGAATAAGTCGAGTGCTTATAGATTCTCAGTGAGTGGTGCTGAGTGGGTGATGCTGTGTGGATGATACTGAGGGTTTGTTAGAGAATGGTATGCGGCCCTGTTATAAATTATTCGAGTCTAGACAGATCAGATAAATGGGTTGTCAGCGGTTGGTCCATATCAGGTTGAGGTATCGTGATGGGTGCGCCTCATGGTGTTGGTAGTAGTGCACAAACACTCAAACTATCTTTTTTTTTAAACAGTCGGACATGAACACTCAAACTATATTTAAAAAAAACATGTTGGGCACATACAGCAAGCGAATAGCTTAGCACGCGAGGGGCGAAGCCGTGCGGCTGTCGGTCGCAATAGCATACGTACATTGCTATCAGCGTACGCCCATAGGAACAGCCAAGACTCAGACACGTGTGTGGACACCGCCACTACCACTCCCACCCAGCTCATAGACAACATCCCACAACGCACAGATACATTCAGAGGCATACATACACTCACACGGAGTCGGTCACACACACCTTTTGTGCAGCACAGCAGCTAGCAACCTCTGCAGCAATTGGGCCGTTAGGAAGTGCGGCTGTTCAAAGACATCCAGGAACCGCAGCTGCAATTCTAGGGGCATCCGGATAAACGGACCAAACACTTTGCGGGGGTGCTCGCCCTTTGTCTTGGACGGGACGGATACTTGCAGAATCGCAGAAATGGCCTAAAAGTGGGGGAGAGTACGAGGTGAGGTTGATGCGTGGAGTCGCGTGCTAACAAGTGAAGTCAGGTACATCTATGGGTTATAGTTTGCAGGAAACCATACACTATGTATATATGTATATGCACTCATAGTCCACAAAACTCCACATTCACATCGAACGTACACATATATAGGCCTATAATAGTATTCTATGGCTGCTTCCACACACCTGCATGTTCTTTCCGCGAGCGTCCGCATACTGCGGGTGTTGCAGCGCTGCCACCCGCATGGCGTTGATGAGTACCTTTGCTGTCCTGACATGCGCAGGGGCCCCCTTGAGATTCCACAGAAGTCTCGGTAGCATCAGCACGAATGTGTTGAGAGTGCTGTAGGAAGACGGGAGTGTACCAGTATCAGAGTCTACTACTTGGTGGGTGAATGGTAGTACCGAACAGACGTGCCATGGTATTACTATACAGATGTGCTATGGTATTACTATACAGACAGGGATGTGGAATGGTTGGTTCGGTATATGTAGTTGACCTGGCATGCGGCCGAGCCCCACTGAAATCGCACAGAATCGCAAGGTTTTAGGGTTTGACAGCATCCGATGACATGTGGCACGAGTACAGTAGGTGACTGGGGTGTGAAATAAAAATAGGGGTCCACCACAAGCAATGAAATAAATGTGTGGATAGTATATGTACGGCAACAAAAACAGTAAACCCTAAACCCAATATAACATCAACTGTATGTTTCTTGAAACGTCCATGGAAACTATATGGTAGGCAGCAAGTAACCACCCATACCCAACACCAAGCGCCCCTGTGGAGCACGCAGAGATATCACAATCTACCAAGGGACTACCGCAGCATGTCACGACTGTGTGTGACACAGTGGTACTACAGCAAGTACACACCAAAAAACTAAGTTTACACTAGCAGTGCAGTATATGGTCAATACGTCCGGCTAGTTGTGCCAAGACTCCCCGATAAGAACACCCCAAGTAGTGCAATAGAAATGGGTTCACTCAATGAAAACACACACGCCCAAAACAAAATAATCCCAAAGAAAAAAAATTGATCTACTGAATCAACCCAAACCTTCCGAGCAATTAGGTCACTGAACAAAACATGCCAAAAAATAAAAGTTACAAAAAGTTGAGCTCAGCTACCTCATGTCAGTCGGCTCTCCATCGCCGCGCAGGTCTTCGATTTCCGAATACCGATCTGCGTACCAACAAAAGTAAAGTTATGAGAAATTCAAATAAATATGGCAGACGCATTCTGTTCACGACGTGAGAAGGCCTATACCTCGGAGTACGTGTGCATGCGTGTGTCCATACATGTGCGTGTATGTGCCCATACATGTGCGTTTATGTGCCCATACATGTGCGTGTATGTGCCCATACATGTGCGTGTATGTGCCCATACATGTGCGTGTATGTGCCCATACATGTGCGTGTATGTGCCCCATACATGTGCGTGTATGTGTCCATACACGTGCGTGGATCGAATATCTTATGCGAACATAGTTGAGCTGAATAGGGACACTATTGTTGTCCAAGACGAGAGGGTACAGGGAGAACTTGCAAACACATGAAACACGCATGTACAGTGGACGGTAGTGTTTGGATATCTTAACAGCACCCTATTAGGCGTGGTGGTGGGCGGCGACGTCGGTGACTGCCTTATCAGTACCAACTGGGTGTATAACGCACACACACACATGCATTGGTGCACACATACACATACATTCATGCACACAGCCACATACATTCACGTACACAGTCACATACATTGATAGCAACAACGATACGGAAGTTACAACTACAGTGGAACACGGCAGCCACGGTTACCTACACAAGTCTTACAACTCATCACAGCCCTATAAGGAGAGCGATACGTGCATACTGATCGTATCAGTACCAACTGAGTGTGTGCAAACACATCATGCACACATACACTTCCCCTCTCGCACACTCGTCACTCACCCGCACATGCCCGGGTGGTATACACACTTACACCTACACATGCACATGCACATGCACATACACAGTTCCAACATACATGCCGCACACGCTCTTCCCGTCTGTACACCCACCTGTTAAAAAGATGCTGCTCAGGTATCTCAGCAGCACTCCACTGGCTGTGGTGGTGGGCGGGGTCTTCTGTAGCGCCGCCAAGGTGCTCGTCAGCAGCGAATGCTTGCCCAGGCTGTAGGGGAGAGTGTGAGTGTGAGGTCGAAGGTGTGAGTAGAGTGCATCCAGTGTCAGGAGTTCAAGTGATGTGTGAGGTCTAGACATCTACGACGGTGTCTGCGGCAAGTGTCAAGTGTCCAATGTCAAGTGTCAAATGGCAAGTGTCAAGTGTCAAGTGTCAAGTGTCAAATGGCAAGTGCCAAGTGTCCAATGTCAGGTTTCAAGTTTCACGATAGTGTAAAAAAAAGCAAAGATACTCACATCAGCAGCGGTTGTTGCGCTGGCTTTCAGCCCGGGCTACAGCGTGAATGGTGCACCCATGCTGGCAGCTTTGAATACATACGCATTCATGTACAAATACCCTCATGTCCGTTTCACTTCGTTTAAATGTATGTACGAACATGTGCGCACTTTTTTTACATACATGCGCGCCTTTTTTATCATGGTAGGCGCGTGGGTGTTTGCTGCATCATACATATACGCATTTGAATACATACGTACGAAACAAACACTCTCTCAAAAAATACGAATGAACATAACAGGCACACACACGAATCAACAAAAAAAGAAACACGTACATACATGCGCGGTAGAATGAACGAGCGCACACAAAGAAACACACACACACGC